GCTTGTTACATAAAGTGATGCCACTGCCATTGAAAACTCAGCCAGTGTAGAGTTCTCCCACAGCAGTCCAGCCTTCTTATGCAGCAGAGTTCGATATCACAGGCTGTGGCTTCTCAAGAGAAGAACATTTAGAGAAGAGTATTGGATCCTGAGCAGAGTAAGATCGGTGAGAACATTTCCAGATGGTGAGAAACACAAAGCCAGAAGTGTAGTCCAGACATCGTAGTCGAAAAGAGAGAGCGGAAATCCAAAAGGCCAGGTAGCCGATACGGTAGATGAGAGCAATAAGCTAGAAGCGAAGTCCTTAAACCGCAGTCAAAAACGAACAAGTTCCAAAAACCAGGAAAGCCTAATCCAAGACAAAACACAAGGAATGAGTAGAGCTCAACTGGAATTTAAACCCAATACTGAGCACTGGGGTTACTGCAGACAGCCCTAAAGTATGCTGGGGTTTGGAGGTGTGGTGGTGGACAGGTAAGGTGAGTGGTTATCTGATTGGATGTGGTCTATACCTTCTTAAAGGGACTGCCGGTTGGTTGCATGAAGTCCGAGATCAGGCCTCTCAGGTCCTTAACTGAATCCCAGCTGGGGCCTACACGAGCCCCTCCTTCCATAATCCCCTTAGCAAAGGTGGTCTCAGGCACCAACTGTTCTCCACGGCTCTATGTCTCGGCAGTCGATCCCTTCTGCTGTTTGCATTTCTCTATAGAGCTCTTATAGTCTCACACTTCTGTTCCAGTCACCTTAAAAATATACAACCTTAAAAGTATATTTACTGTGTACTTACAATATGCTACTTCTTTAAAATCTCTTCTGCTTAGACATGCCCCGTGTCTTAATTATCACACTGGGAGTACACCTTCCCAACTTGTTGCCAGCACACATTTTAATGGGACAAAAGTAGACGGACTCCCCCACATCAGCTTTGTTAATCGGATGCTTCGGTTCGGTCCTCCTCCTCTGTAAATTGAGAAACACCGATCATAAAGATGCGACTTATGGAAACACTAAGGAAATTATGTTGACACATCATTTAGACAAGGACTACTAGACCTAGGGCTACTAATTATTAATTATTCACTTAATTATTTACTTGATGATTACCATGTTTAATATTCTCATTCTAGACAGGAAACAATGGGAAACAATAAAAAAGCATACAGCTTGTTAACATATACAGTACTGTGTTGTTAAATGTAAATTAGTTTAAATCAAGGAATGGTATATTACAATTTTATAATCCACTAGTAAGAGCTCACTTAAAATATTGTGTACAAGTTCAGTCTCCATGTCACGAGAACCATGTTTTTGCTTTGGAATCTGGGATCCAGAGCAAATTACCTAGGTACAGTACCTTCTCAGAAATGAAGGAAAGCCTTACACTGACAGAGACCTCAAACATTTGATTAGAACAACCAGAAAAACATGAACCAGAGGACACAAGTGGAAACTATGGGATGAGGAAATTAATTCAAATGTATTTACATAAATTTGTGTGTGTCCCTTCCTGGTGTGTCTCCCTGCTTTTATCTGCCTGTCTTTTTATCCTCCGTTTCTCACCAATGAAGACTTGATAAGAGTTACCAAGACCTTAGGTAGCTAACTTAGACCAGATGATTCCTTTTGATTAATCTCAGACCCTCTACCGCACAGCAAACACCTCGTCTTCCATTTGATGTGAAACCCTGAGAATGAAACCCTGCAAATGTGGACACGAGCTATATGTTGATCCCCCTATCTAGCTATAAGCTTATGAAGAAATAAACATTTCTCAATAAAACAGTTTGCATTCTCCATATATGAACATGCAGGTAGAAACACATATTTCATATATTTGTAAAATAAAATTAAATGAATGCCATAAAGAATTTTGTTTTTCATACAAGGTGCTCAGGAGAGAAAAAAACAGAAATATCATCTCATCACACCTCGGACTGAGCACCTTTGCCTGAGGGCCTGGGATGTGCTTAAAATAATTTGCATTAAGACAAAGAAGATAAGTCAGCAGCACAGTTCTGAGAAACTCATGGCCTTTAAGATTGCCGTTCCTACAGTATGTGATGGCACCCGAGGCAGGTCTTTGAGAGACAACAGCTGTCAAGCTTGAGCGCCGGTGTCTGTCTGCCAACACAAAGTTTCAGAACACAAGGTGAGCAAAACTCCCAATCTGACACCATCGTAAAATAGCACTTACACCTTCTGTGGCTTCATCAGAAACTGAATGTTTGCTTAAAGGAAAGACACCTCAGGATGACCTGGTGGAATAATTTAAATAAATATTGGAGTATGTGTCTACATATTAGCTTAGCAATCAACCCCACTACCAACTCTCTCCATCATACAGTTCCTCACCAACAGATCAGCCTATAAACCATTGATTTCCTGTCTAAGGAAGGCTGGTGGTTCCACTGCTGACAAGATGAGGAAGACCAAGCTGTGTAGGAGACTAAGTATGTGTAATGTTCTGCTGCTTCAGGTAGTGTAAGCCGCAGCCCATTTGAAAAAATAAACCAAGAGCATGCAGGAATCAGGAGAGTGAGATCAGGGAGCACAGTGTGGGCAGGAAGCAGGGGACAGGAGGTAAACTCAGCCGGAAGGCTGAATCCAAAGCAGATGATTTTCAAAGCCGGGAAGACACTGAAGAGCAGCACAGAGGCTCAGCGGATGTGAGCCTGGCCAGTACCTGGGTGGGAGACCTCCTGGGAAAGCTAAAGTTGCTGCTGGAAGAGGTGTTAGTGGGACCTGTAGGGAGCATTCACCTCGTGGTCTGTGTAGGTCCTAATGCTCCCAGTATAGTGACAAGGACTCTGCACTGAAAAAAGAAGGTCCTGAGGTCCTGACTCTCTTTGGTCATTAAAAATCCCAGGATATTTCTCAAAAAGAGTTGGGTTGTTACCCTGGTGTCCAGGACAAATTTCACCCTGGTCTTTACCAATCAGGCCTCCCAATAATCCCCATCTATGAACCACTGTTCTCCTTTCCACTGATAGCTGTTGTGTTGCGAGCGTACTAGAGCACTATGCCTGTAGTCGCATTATCCAGTTGGGGCTGCACACTGATTTTGGTGGAGGAGAGTCCTCATTACCTGTAAAGTGCTTTGAGTGGAGCACTTTACAGGTAATTTATAACCACTTAAGGTTACTGATACAGTTAAATCTTCTCACTGCCAGAGGGCACCTCATGCACTGGCTACTGGCACAGCAGAGGCAAACACCACGCAGACAGCTGTATCGAGCTTGAGCCAGTCACAAACTGACCAGGGGTCCCTGCTTCAGCTCCATATAAACTGTGCTCTTATTCCACTCAGTGCTCAGGCTCCTACACGTCTGGTTAGTGTCACGTCCTCCACATCGTCTTGTTCCTTGTTTCTCTGTGCTGTACTTGTTCTTCCGGTGTGTCTTGTTGTCTGGGGCTATGTATTTCCAGGTCTCCCATTCCTCCTGGCTCGGCATTGGGATCGGTTGTCGAGAGGCTCGCCTCACCAGGTCGCCCCACATCCGCTACCTGAGGGCTTATGTCTCATTCCGACTCCGCCCGATACCTTGAGCCCGGAGCGAACTCTCTTGTTTGCTCCATTCCTGCTGCTACGCATAGGGTCCTCCCGTCTCGCCGGTCTCTCTCCACGGCTAGTCACGGCTTCTGTGACAGTTGCAGCTCTGGACCTTCACTTTCCTGGCTTTTCTTGAACCTAGTATCCTTTTCTTGTTCTTTCTGTCCATTATTTGCTCCTGGCTACTTATTGTTTCCTTTCTTCTGCTTCACGTGTTTGATTTCTCCTTGAATTGCCTTCCCAGTTCCTGAATTTGGCCTTCTCCTGGACTTTGATTGTGGATTTTGTGTTATAGTGTTCTTTTGGTGATCCCTGTCTGTTGGTACCTTCACAGAGTCTATTCCCCTGCTCACTTGAACTGTCTAGCCTGCCGCTAACAGGTATGGTGAAACCATAACCTTTCCCCTTGACTATTAAGCCATGACCACTCCATTGAATCTAAGAAAATGTCCGAAATTCAACCCTTCACTGGTCCAGTAGCAGAACCTGCTACTTCCTGTCTCTGTATATCTCTGGAAGACGCTTCTGTCCCTACTCACTGCTTTTATACCCTCAGGACTGCAGATATTGTCTTCTGTGATACCTCACAGCCATAACAGCAATTTAGAACTCAGTTGAGAAAGACTGTTCTGTAGCAGCATGGGGCCACTCCAATCATGCGTTCCCAGACTCCTTCCATGTGAGGAGAATGGGAAGGGTTGAATTCCCATGTGCAGTCTTGCTCTCTTAGATATTTTTGGACACCAGTCTCTAGTTTCTACTTCTTGCCAAGATGTAGCTGATTGAGGTTTGTTCCACAATCTGATTTTAGTTGTTTCATGAGTCCACAAATGGCAGAGAACCTCCTCTGTGCGCTGATGCAGCTCAATGTGATGTGGATTCTATCACTTCAATGTGCACTGCCTGAGTGCTCGTGCACGTGAACAGCACTGCCCAGCGCTCACTGTAAGCTTGCCCTCCTCTGGTGTGGCGTGCAGCATCTGTAACAGGTGGGGACATGCCGGGTCATTTGGGCGGAAGGCCTTCTAGTTTCTGTTCTTCCCTTTTGCCACATTGATTCCTACACGTGACACACTTGTGATTCCTACACATGACACACTTGTGAAGGACAGAACTGATGATCGTCTTACCAGAACCCATCTGTCACGGATGTCGGAATGGACGAACTGTGGAACGGCAGGAGAGCGAAAATAGACCCTATGTGTAGCAGTAAGATGGGGTTTACCCGGTCCTAGACTCAGTCTATCTGTTTCTGGACAATGCCTGTGCTGTTGAGAGGAATACTGGAAGGGGACTATTTTACATGTTTTGTTTGTTCATTCATATGCCAGATGAAAATCCATTTCTCTCTAAACCTCAGAGAGTGTGCCCTATGGATCAAGATTTCCTTTAGCTGTGGGAAAGCCACCTCTTGTGTTGTGCTGAGAAATAAAAATTAAATACAAAGATGTGATAACAAACCAGCCAAATATTTTATTGATGCTGCTGAAATACAATATATATCAGAGTCAGATTAAGCATCCAAAAGAAAGAATTCAATACATGTCATAAATGGTACGCTGCAAAAGAGCAGAGTATGAAAAGCCCAAAGCATTAATTGCATAATTTTTAGCAATTACCCGTAATGTATTCTGAAAAATACTCTTCTACTTTTTGAGGGCTATGATTTTTTCCTTTATTCCGACTCTGGAGACTGAAGCACCAATTCATCTTCCAGTAATAACCGTCTCATATCCAAAGACTATGGTTACCTTTGCTGTATAAGGAACATCCAGGGTTCCCTTCTGAACAACAGCCTTGAATCTCACTGACTTCCCAGGGTTCGCTGTGGCACTCAAGGTAGATGATTCTATAACCTTCAGAGACAAAACAGCAAAGCATACTGCCATTTTGGAAATGGAATTACCAAGACATTGGGGAAAAACTATTTTAACATGTTATCAGTGGCAGTGATCTATGTAGAGTCCATTGTGGAGAAGGAAGAACGTTGAACATTTTTTGGTGAATTTGTAGTGTGAAGAGAAGTAATAGATACTATCATGGGAAAAGAGTACAGAGACTAAACGGAGTAAAAAGGAGTAGGAGAGTTGCAGAGAGGGGAACATGATGGGTAAATGCACTGAGAGTGAGAACTGGAGATACTTTCTATAAAATGAACTGTGGGATCTGGAACAAGCTACCCAGCCATGTTCTCAAAGCTGCTGAATTTATGAAGTTTTATTTATTAGATATTATATATTAGACACTTAACATGATGAAGAATTTAATCATTTTAGTTGGTTCACCTTATAGTGAGTTTTATGAATAAGTCCAACGCTGATATCAAAGGGTCAGGTACAGCATTGAATAAGCTCTGTCTACCCCCAATCTGTCTCTGCTCCATATCTGAAATAATTATCTGTATATAATGGAAATTATATTTATTGGACAGACAGACCAATGAAAGTCACAAGAAGTTATAGTGTATTTTGTAAAAAGTAGTAGGAATGGAGTATGTGAAGCATATATTCTAATACAGAACTGAACTGCAGGAAATACCAAACATAACATGAAGGTTTCATAAATAACCAGCTGTAAAATCTAGTAATCTCATCTTTTAAACAATCATAATTATTAACAATATTTGCCCTATATCTTCATATAAGGATGATCTATTCCAACATGGGAACATACAGTAAGTAAGGTTACAAATGAGATGAGACCTTTCAGTCCAGCAAGATCCTTTGTTAGTTAATTAATCCCAAGATCTCATCCAGCTGTTTCCTGAAAGAAGCAAGTGTATCAGCTTCAACCACATGACTGGGCAGCTTCCAAACTCCTTACTCATGTCAATGCTCCATGCCAATCAGTCATCAATACCAAACCATCTATGTCCACCTCATCACTGTATCAAGATGAGAGGTACAGTTTGTTAGTACTAAAGCCAAGTTATATAGAGGAACATGATCCACAATGTCTACCAGCTGTATATACAGTAGATACTTTATATACATGAACTTTAGAAGTCGACAGAAAAAAAAAAATCTAAAATCACCACTTTAAAAATGTAATTCCAAACAATTTTTTTTTCTCAAATATGTAACTCCCAAGAAAGAATTTCCTTTTGTCAAGGATAATAAAGACCAAGAAAAATGGAAAACGTGATTACAATGAAAGCTAAACTAAATAATAAAAGTCAAGGATGAAGTGCCTCATAGAAAACTAATGGAAATATTTAGAAGATGACAAGGAAATGATTAATGAATCAACTGAATATATGTCCAGTAGATAATGTGGCATATTAAGACTTGGGCAGTTTTTCCCATAAAAATTAATTTTAAAATTACAGACAGATGTCTTGCACAAAGGCGAGTATCTGGTAGCAATTGTAATTAAAGCCAAGTTTCTGGGCTCTTCCAATCCAGTTATCAGTGGCAAACTCTGGCGGTGGGGCAGAGTAGATCTTCCCTTCATCCTTGGAGACACACCACAGATTGCCATCAGGAGAGAAGGCCATGAAATGGGTAAGTTCTGCCCAGCCTCCAGTTCCAACAAGTTCGGCATTACTGATCCAGTCTTGATTCATGTGACTTGGAGGTCTTCCTTTAACCAGCTTCCCTTGTGATGTCACAGCATACAGGATACCCTCAGGGTCAAAGAACAGAGAAGGGAAAAGCCATCCTCCAGTTCCTATCTTAGTAGCAACCCTGTACCTCCAGGACACGTACTCATTCTCGGGAGGGGGACCCTTGTAAAATTCCCCACTTTTTGTCACAGCATAGAGGCTGCCTTCTGGATGGAAGAAGAGGGAGTGAAACTGATCCCATTCTCCTTTGCCAACACACTTTGCTGTAGTTGTCAGCCAGTCTTCATCCGGATTCACTGGAGGAGACCCTGCATAGATGTCTGCATTACGGACTGCAAACATTATCCCAGTCGGACTGAACAGGATGTGGGAGAAGCCTTTCAGATTTCCAACACGTTTAGCACGGGCATAAAAGTTGTCATTGTAGTCAACTGGGGGTCGTCCCATCTGGGCAAATCCTGAGCTCTCCACACCAAACAGCAACACACCTATGAACACATCAAGCATTGAAAAATGATTTCATCTGCCATCACGAAAAAAAACTTTCAGACCATTATTCATCACACTGAATAAATTGTTCACACACAACAGATCTTTGCATCAACAGAAACTTATTCTGAGCAAGGGAATATTGCACAAGACATCTAGGTCTGATATGTGTACTTTCCCACATGTAAATAAGGTACTGCTACAGCAAATATATATACAGTATCCTTGACAAAATAATATTTTATTGCATCCAATTAGGTCTCTTGTGCTTCCTGTCTGCAGCACTGAAGTAAACAATAGAAGACTTTGATTATCACATGAGTCAACCAAAATCACTAGACGCCAACATCTCTCAGTGAATCACTCAGTCCTGAAATTGCATGCCTCTTTCAGGTGATCTTGGACTGTAATCTGTGTACCAATACAGTACAGCTCTCTGAGAAAAGCAAACATGTTAACATTGCATGTTTTTTGACAAAGGCAATGGTCTGCGTGTCCTCTCTATACCCCAATTCCAGTGTGCCAAAGCAACCCCCGAGGCACTGCTTTTCTCTAGAATGCGATAGATCCTCCTGATCTATTCCCCCCCCCCCATCATAGGTCAGGAATACAGTTACAGGTTTTCAGTACTAACCAGGGTTTGACCAACAAATCCAACTCGATACAATTCTAAAAGTAAGTCTGTAACTGAAGCTTTGGATTTTGTCTGGTTTTTGCTTGATTGTGCCAAGTTCTAGAGAGAACAAGGTGACCAACCCACACAACTGGCCGTTACGTAGGCAGTGAAACCAGAATGAGCAGAATCAGCAGTCAGGGTCAGAAGTGTGGTGATGCTGATAGTAGAAGACCCAAAGAGGCAATCGGCTCAAAGCAAAAATTCAGTATGATTAAGCACTACAAGAACAATGAGTGACACTGTCTGTGCTACCAGTGTGAGCTTAGTGAAAAGCTTAACGTTGCACAAAGTGCTTAATAAGTATGGTCATCCCCGTTACTGCAACCATTCACTCAAGATTCAGCTTATGAGTATTAGAATTTTGTTTTCCTTCTAAACTAAAAGGTTCCAAAGGTTTGTGATACAGTATTTATGTACAAAAGTGTTGAAACTGGTTCAGACAAACATCTGTACTTATGTCACGCCCTCATCCCACCACATTCCCAAATGAAAGCGCACTCATACCAATTACACTCCAGCCCTGAGCACTTCTGCCAAACGACACCGCTCCTGCCAATCAGCGCACCTTCCTCCTCTCACAATACTTAAACCCTCCAGAGCCCTCTGCTCTTGGCCTGGTATTGGTTGCCCTTTGGAGTGCCTACCTTGCTTTCATCTTCTAAACCACTATATGGGTACAGAGCAACATACAGATTCTGCTAGCAGACTCCATCACAGGAAACTCTGTGTCTGATTGAAGGGATTATAATTGAATCTTCAAAGCAGCAATGAACAATCCTCATCCTGGAGGGCTGGTGTGTCTGTGAGGTTGCACTACAACTTGGCTCTTAAAGAGCTAAAGCAGCTGGTTACTTGTTTAACTAGATCAATTTAACTGCTTCTCTCAGCTCTCCAGGTGCTGCTGCTTTAAATAGACCTTAACCTGCAGACCTACCGACCCTCCAGGACCAGGATCGGACACCCCTGCTTTAGAGTGTTACTGCAATACTGACTCCAGTTTCAAGACTCTGCTGAGCAGCTTACATCCGATTCCTGACACTGAATCAGTCTAGGAGCTGATGATACCTCAGGTAGCCAAACAGCAGATCTGCAAAACAGCATTGTTTTTCAGCACGCTCGCTCATAGTCTAGTGCTGAAGCTTTAGCCTGATCACACATGGTTGAGAATACATAGACCTTGAATACCTGCAGACACACCAACCTTCCAGGAACAGGATTAAAGTGTGACTGCAACACCAAGTCGAGTTTCATGATCAATTGAGTTGTTAACAGCCAAGTCTCCACCCGTGAGCTCACTATCAGTTCTCAATATACTCACTCATATTGCCTGATGCTGAAGTCCTGTGAGGGTGATGGGACACGGTTTGTGTTTTAAGATGTTTCTTGCTGAAGATGAGGTAAAGTGAGTTTCTGCAAAAACAGAATTCAAGAACCAAAATACGTAGTTATTTTAAGACTTCTTATTCCCTTGCATGAACTTATAAATCTCCCCATCTTATAAGAACATGTTACTTTAACAATACTATATGAAAAAGTCCATGAACAATGTTTGTGTTATACAAAAAATATTCAACAACCAAAATAATT